CTTGGACCTAGAACTTGATAATGGATTTCAGATCTCTAACTAATATTATTTTTTTTATTAAAAAATTTTAATGTTGACACAGATCTCTTACTAATATTAGATGTCTGTTTAAACTTGCAGACTATCTTGTTGGGGCCTTGGGTTTAGAATTCTATTTTATTCTGATTATTATAGTAGTTGATGGTTATTACTGTGATGTAGTAGATAAGCTTTTTAAGTGGTACTGCCACATAAAGAAATTACCAAAACAATAATTTAATAAAACATCTTTAAATTTGTGTTTGCATATATAAACTGAAAGCCATATTCAATGTCCCAGGAGTTTGTCATATAACCTAATGACTGGTTGCTATTGACTGTGTCTGTCTTCACTAACACAGCTTCTTTTGGCATCTAATACATCTTAGCTCATTGAGTCTTTGTTGGATATTTTTTCCATAGCTTTTCAGAGTAGGAGAGAAGGGAGGGAGGGAAAGAGGGGTGGTGGGAAAGGTAGGGAAGGAGAGAGAGAAACATCGATATGAGAGAGACACATTGATTGGTTGCCTGCTGCACACATGCTCCCTGTCTGGGCCAGGGAGCAAACCCGAAACCCAGGTAGGTGCCCTTGACTGGGAATTGAACCTGAGACCTTTTGGTGCACAGGCTGATGCTCTAACCACTGAACAACGCCAGCCAGGGCTTATTGAGTTTGGATATTGCTAACAAAAAAAAAAAAAGAAAGAAAGAGTAATGGACTTGGAAATTAGTTCCTTCAATGCTGATATAGTGGACTTTCTGTTTAGATACTTAATTAAATTTGATAAGTGTTAGTTTCTTAAAGATAGTCTCATTATTCAGTTTGAACCCTATCAGTGTTAATTAAAATCTTCTGGCCCGTCTTGCACTTTGAATTAACTTTTTATCCATGCATGGTTTTGTAACATCATTCATTGGTCATCTTGAAAACATGATTTACTGAGTTATGCAGATCTTATAAATGTTAAAACATTTCATGTATAATTTAAAAAATTTCACACTCAGTAATATCACCACCAGTCTCATCAGAAAAGTTGTAAGTATTGGAAAGTAGTTAAGATCACAGTGGTGTATACCAATTTTCCAAAATTCTAATTTTTAAACTTGGCAACAAGTACTGCCAGTTATTTTCTTTGAAATGACAGGTAACTATCTGGCATATACTAAATCTAAATAAATCATAGATGGTGAATCAAGAAATAGTAGTCCTGGGGGTCAGGGAACAGCAGGACAAATAGCTGTTTTAGCTCACAACTTTCAACTGTACAGGTTCTTTTCCTTGCAGTAAACTTCATACTTTGGTACACAGCAAAGTACTTTGTATGTAGTTCCCATTATGTCACACAACATATTAAATGTTGTGTACTTATTATAGGTATTATTAAAATTACTTTATATTGCATCAGGGACATTCTTAAATGAATTGGCTTTTATGTTTTATCTGAAAGTGTGTGATGATGAGGAATACAGTACAATGTATATCATATTAAGGAATTCTATGCACTTTCATTCCATTACTTTCCATGGTGGCGGCAGTCTTAGTTATCATTGCTTTTGAACCATGAGTGCAAATGTCAATACGCATGCACACAAAAGTCCTAGTCTTATAAAAACTAGAGGCCTCGTGCACAAAATTCGTGCACTCAGGAGGGGGGCTCCCCTCAGCCCGGCCTGTGCCCTCTTGCAGTCCGGGAGCCCTCAGGGAATGTTCGATTGCTGGCTTAGGTCTACTCCACAGGCTTTTGGCTGAGCAGCCTGCCCTCAGTGGGAGTGCACCGACCACTAGGGGGCAGCTTCTGCCCCCTCATGATCAGTGTGCAAAATAGCGACCAGTCATTCTGCCATTCGGTCGATTTGCATATTAGCCTTTTATTATATAAGATAGTTTCAGCACCATGGATTCTCCTGAAATTATTATTGGGATTTCCAGGAGCCTGTGAATCACGTATTAACCTGTTAACCGAGCGGGACCTATAAATACATCAAACATAAACACTATCGGGTACGGGTAGGACATATGAATATGTCCTTGAAATATATGTTGCGCCCTGAGAGGGACGGTATATATTTTTTGTAATCTTTATAATTGTTTGTAAAATTTATAATTTTTTAATTCGATGTTTCCATTTTTTGGTTGGTATTCTTTTCTATTTGTTTGTAATTTTGTATTTTCCTTTGTGCTTTATATATAAATAAATGAAAAAATATATATATTTCATTTATTTTAATTAAGTATAAATAAAAAAATAATAATATAAAATTACGTCCGCTGGGCGTGACATACTGACATGTCCTAGTGAAAGACTATGCGCCCGTTGTACGTTGTGTAATTAAAAAGGGAACTCCCCGGTTAACAGGTTAAAAACTTCTACTCTGTTCTGTCATTAGTAATTATCCTATTTTAAATTCCTCTAAATACTTAGGAGATTTTTTTGATACACTCTTTTCTAATGATTTACCTTCGTTTCCCTCACTAATATCAAACTTATAGTTACTAAAAAACAAACAAACTTATAGTTACTGCATTATTTTAGTTTATTATTATTTTTATTATTTATGGTATTTTTGCCTTACTTTCAGATTAGCTTTTTCAGTCACATGTCAAAGAAAAATGGATATGTACCATTGGGATTTTTATTGCAATTACATTAAATTTACAATTAATTTGACAAGAATTGACATGTTTACAAATATTTGCATTTTCCCATCTAGGAATATAGTATGTCTGTCTTTTTATTCAATTTTTAATTAAGATTTTATGTGGTTTTTTTTTAAATAGCTCTCGTATATTTTAAAGTTTGTTCTGAGATATTTTATGCTATGTTTGCTTTATAAAGGGGACATTTTTATTATATTTTCTAGTGGGTTATTATAGGTGTAGGGAAAGTTGATTTTCATATGTTTGCATACAAACTTAATATTATTTTAGGTAGATAGCTATATCATCTGTAAATGATAGTGTTTTTTTTTTTTTTTTTTTTTTTGCATTTTTCCCCTTATTGCACTGGCAAAGATCTCCCATATAGTATTGAATAGTAGAGATATTGTGCCTCTTTGTCTTGTTGCTGAGTTGAATAGCAATACTTAAAGTTTCTCCATTAGGTTTCATCTTTAAGGGTTTTTATACTTAAAAAAAATAACCTAGATAAGGAAGTTTGATTTTGCCTTCTATTTATGATGTTTTTGTTAGTGACTAGAAATATATTTTATTAGTTTACTGTGGCACCATTTGAGGTAACAAATTTGTTTCTTTCTTACTTTGTCAACATTGTGAATTATTTGAATACTAGATGCCCAGTGCATGAATCATGCACTGGGGAGGGGAGTGAAAGGAGGGACCACAAGGGCTTGCCCCTGAGGATGGAGCTGGTCCACAGCCCCCTGGGAAAGGGGCCGCATCCACCACCACCCAACCCCAGTTACCCATCTCAGCCCAGGGCCTGAAGGCCCCAACAGGATTGGGAGAGAAAGCGATGGTCCGATGGCGCCCAACCACTGTGTGGTTCCCTGCCTTACCCACCTTCTTCCCTCACTGCTGACAAACCCTTGTGTTGAGGTCTGACTTTCAATAGATCACAGCAAGGGAGCTGCTCTGCTATGTACAAAACCCCGATCCAGAAGCGGGTCTCTACAAATGGTTTAGCACCAGGAGCCGATGGGGGCCAGCTGGCTGGGAGAAGGCGCTGGGAGACGTTGGCTGTGGGAGTGCACTGACCACGGGGGCAGCTACTGTGTTGAGCATCTGCCCCTGGTGGTCAGTGTATGTCATAGAGACTGGTTGACTGGTCATTTGGTTGTAATAGTCACTTAGGCTTTTGTATATATAGATAGCTCCTATTACTTAACCATCTTTTTATTCATAGAATGAACTCTACAATGGTTACAGTGAAAACCTGGTAGTATTTTTTGCAACTTAAAAAAAAAAATTTTAATATGTCTTCATAGTTGAGATTGGCCTTAAATTTTATTTCTTCTGGATTTGTTTTCAGGATTGTGCCACTTTGACAAGAAATTGAACTTTCATTCTCTTTCTGATATCATTTAAATTACATCACAATTATTTGTTTCTTATGGGTTTGGTAGAATTTGCCTAAATCATCTAACCCTGATCCTGTTTTTTTGGGATACATAAATGACCACTTTGACTTTATCTTACTATCTCTCTCTCTCTCTCTCTCTCTCTCTCTCTCTCTCTCTCTCTCTCTCTCTCTCTCTATATATATATATATATATATATATATATATATATATATATATATAAAATCCTAAGTGACTGGCTGACCACTGACTGTTTGACCATCCAACTAGTAGCTATGATGCAAACTGACCACTAGGGGGCAGATGCTCAATGCAGGAGCTGCCAAGCTGCAGTTCTTGAGTGTTGCACCTGGAACCAGAGAGGAAGGAGCTTGATTTTGGGGTGCATCCCCTGAGAACTTCTCTCTCGCAACCCTGGGCCCCTCAGGGGATGTCGGAGAGCCAGTTTTGGCCCTATCCCTGCAGGCTAGGCCAAGTGACCCGGGACTTTATTAATATATATATATATATATATATAAAAGCCTAAGTGACTAGCCGACCAACTGGCTGATTGAAAGCTATGATGCGCACTGACCACCAGGGTGCAAACGCTCAACACAGAAGCGGAAACCACAGGCATGGAAACAGAACAGACTGATGAATCTCAGAGTGTGCGGGGGAGAGATGGGAAGTGATTAACCAAAGATCTTATTGTACATGCATACTAGAGGGCCTTCAGTATTTTTATAATTAAAGAAACCTCATGATAGCAATCACGTTTCATTTTCCTCTTGTAGCCCCAGCACTTAAATAGTGCAGTGTTAGGTACATAGAAAGTGTTGAGAGAAAATTGTTGAATGACTCCTAATAGGCTTGAATAGTGATTTTACTTTGCTAAAGTTTTATTTGAACTATGTTAATTTTTTTTTTTTTCTTTATTCCTTTTTTTTCTTTCCTCCTCAAAGTTCCACTCTTATCCTGGGGACCCAGCTTTAACTTTAGCATCTGGTATGTTGAACTTAGTGGCATTGATGATCCTGATGTAGTACAACCTTGTCTCAACTGGTATAGCAAGGTAGGACTGTATTTCAAAATCCTTATATCATGTTTCTAATGCCTGTAAAGAGAGAATTATGTTACTCTCTTGTCTTCATTGAGAATAATGATAATTATTATGATTAATCAAACTAATTGTATTGCTCATTTATAGTCTCTCAGCTTCTAAGCAGTCTTTATTACTTATTAAATCATTACCACTCTATGAGATAAGTCTAGTTATTATTTATATTTTACAGATGATGAAATGGAACACTGAGAGGTTAAGTATTTTGCCTAAAATGGCATAGTTATAAAGTGGTTAAGCCAGCATATAGACTCCAGCATTCTGGCCCCAGAATCTGCCATTTTATTATTATTATAATCTGACCATTTTGTTTTTAACCTATGTTGATTGAAATAATTAAACACAGTTTTTAGTGGGGTAGTTTTGGTTCTTAATTGCTTCTATCATATATGCCTTCATTCCTATGAAAAATTCCTTTATAAGAATTTTTGCTTTTCCTTTTAAAGAATTTGAAACTGTTTCTATAAATATTATGATCTTGTGTTTATAGGAAAAAGAAAAATTAAATTTACAGTTTAAAAAAAAACATATTGTTATTGATTTTAGAGAGGAAAGAAGGGGGAGAGAGAGAGCTAGAAACACCAATGATGAGAGGCAATCATTGATCAACTGCCTCCTGCATACCCCCACTGGGAATTGAGTTGTGACCTCATGGTTCATAGGTTGATGCTCAACCACTGAGCTACGCTGGCTGGGCATATTTAACGATTTTATTCATAAGTCACTTTATATAGATACAGACTGAGAAATGTGAGTTTAAATTATTGAGAACTAGGCGCTCTGTTTTGTTTTTTGTTTTTTTAAACATCTTTCATGCTTCATTTTTGTTTTTAATGTATATTTATTTGACTCTTGGCTAATTTGAGGGGAGGCCTCTTTCTTGTCAATCTACTCACTAATTCCTGAGATTTTTATTTGTGAGTAAACTGATTTACTCATAGGAGATTGGGAAACAATATAATATTTTTGCATGGAATTTCAGCTTTTTTGGTCAGTTTAATTGAGAAACTTTTGACTAATTTATTTTTGGCATTTGATTACATTCAATTTAAAATAGATGCTGATGCTCTGGTTTCTCTTCAGACTGCATAAATATTTTGCCTTTTAAAATAGATGCTGACTTTTCTGTATTTTGCGTATATTTTTGGATCTCAATATTGTAAATTCTTTCGAGGTGAAGATGATATTTTTAAATGTTAAAAAACACTTTTACAGTGTAATTCACATAATAGGTAGTAAGTCTTTGAAAGGTGCTACTTTAAGTAAAAAAGATTTAGATCCTCTGATAGTTGAATTTTCCCTTTAGCCTAAATATGAATGTGTGCTTTCTTTAATATATTCACATGAACTTTTGATATTTCAGGAAGTTGTAAATTTGGGAAGATTATATTTGTGAACTTAAATTGTTCAACCACATTCACTTTTCAAGTTCTGTATATTTACTCTGAACCTCTAGAAATTAAAATTAAAAGTCTATCCTCTGCAATTCAATCCTGTATTGAAGCATTAAAATTCTATTATTTCATAAATTTTCTACAATGTATCTATATGCCACCTGATAGAAAATTTCAATGGGGATGATTCAGACTTCTCAGGTGAACACAATAAAAAGGTATTACTGTTTAATATGGTTCTGGATAGTTATGATAAATCTTTATTTACAGGCCAACGGTAAAAAACTAATAATGTAAAACTAGTTTGAGTACAGAATCATTCTTTTATTATTTGATGAGGGAGTATCTTCATTAACTATAGTGCTTAAGAAAGTATTTTCAATAACCTTTTATTAATAAAAAAATCAGGCAACCTTTTTTTTTTCTTGTGAAGCTTCCTAAAAGGCAGCATCTTATTTTCCTGATTTATTAAAAGATATTACAAGTAAATCATATTTTTGTTTGATTATCATGCATTGCTTCTGTGTCATTAGTTTTGTTCATTCTTATTTAGAAAATTTGGAAATCTCAAAGTGTATTCTTGAACTTTTTATCTTTAAAATTTTTTTATATGAACTTGTATTTTTGACATTCATCCTATTACAGGAAAGATTTAGTAAATTAAACATTTCTATTTTGGGATTCTAGTTTATTAAGACTTTTACTTATTGCTGTTAAATAGATGAAGTAGTTGAGGGTTAGAAAAAAATATACAATTTAAGTAGTTTCTTTCTCATGATTTTGAGTCATAAAACCTGTTTGTGAATTTAAAATCCATGAATATTTATCATTCAAGTAGTAATACCAAGAACCAAGAATTAAAAGCACAATATCATTTATGTATATTATTTAATGGTTTCTAGTGGAGTAGAACCAACATTATAATCTGATTAGTAAAAGCCATGAAGTTATAATTTTTACAATCTTAAGTGGGTTTTCATAAATAGTTTTCCTGCTTTTCTTGAAAATTCAAGCTCTTGGCCAAACCGGTTTGGCTCAGCGGTAGAGCGTCGGTCTGCGGACTGAAAGGTCCCAGGTTCGATTCCGGTCAAGGGCATGTGCCTTGGTTGCGGGCACATCCCCGATAGGGGGTGTGCAAGAGGCAGCTGGTCGATGTTTCTCTCTCATCGACGTTTCTAGCTCTCTGTCCCTCTCTCCTCCTCTCTGTAAAAAATCAATAAAATATATTTAAAAAAAAAAGAAAAAAAGAAAAGAAAATTGAAGCTCTAGAATTAGGTCTGGTTTCATCTCTTTATATCTTTCACTTTCATGAAAGCTATATCTATATATCTTTATCTCATTCATATCTTTCTGTTACATACTTTGTGACCTTTAACAGGTTATTATAATTGACTATGCATCGGTTTTGCCATTTAAAAGTGAAAATAACGATATAAGGAATAGGTTTAGCACATAATAAATGCTCACATTAAGTTGGTTAGTTGTCACTTACTATTCCTATAGTAATAACTAAGCAAATCTCTTCTTTTCATATTTTCTCTTGTGTTCCAGTAGTACCGTGAACAGGAAGCCATTCGTCTTTGCTTAAAACACTTTAGACAACACAATTATACAGAAGCCTTTGAATCACTACAAAAGAAAACCAAGATTGCCCTGGAACATCCTATGTTAACAGATCTGCATGATAAACTGGTGTTGAAGGGTGATTTTGATGCTTGTGAAGAGCTGATTGAAAAAGCTGTAAATGGTATGTTATAGACATTAAACTTAGTTGGTTATTAGTGTGATTTCAAATATTTTCAAGAAACTTTAAAAAAGAATGTACGCTTATGTGAGTTATTTCCTTTTTTCTTGTGTGTTTTTATTGTTTGTTTTTTACTCTGTAAAGATTGTTACATCCTTGGTTAGGGATCTCTTTTATTAAAATAGGTATATATTATAATGAGACTTGAAAAACAAAAAAGAAGCACATTGCATCACATAGTTAAATCTAAGTTGTCTTCTTGGGAAATCATGCACTTATGAATGAATGATAACATTGACTAGCACTAAACCATGTGGAAAAGGCTTCTAATGTTATTCTCAGTAGTAGTAGCCTATTTATTTATGTCATTTTTGTTGATAGCAAATTGTCATTATTTAAAGTGTAATTTGAGGAAGAAGATGGTTGGATAAGCAAAAATGTTATTAATAAAAGTTTATAATGAATGAGGGAAATTTATAATGGAAACATCTTCTGTGTGGTGTGAATGCTTACATAATTGATGATATTCTTGGGTTTAGAAAGAAATGTGAATATTAGAACATAATGTAATCTCACAAGGTAACTATGTTGTAAGATGACATCCATTTGAATATTTAAGGTCTGATAAATTTTGTTATTTTACAGAGGATCTCTGTTGTTGTTTTATAGCAGTGGTTTTCAGTCTTTTTCATCTCATGGCACATATAAACTGATTATTAAAATTCTGCAGCACTCCAAAATATGTTTTGCATGTCTGACAAAAGAAAAGATGTAATTTTGATTTATTCACATTGAGTAGCCATTGCTGTGTTGACAGCTGTCATTTTTTTATTTGACAATCTAAGAGAAAAGAGGTTAGTGCCCTAGATGAAATAGTCAGGTATTGTGCCTGGCTGGCATTGCTCAGTGGTTAAGCATCGACCTATGAACTAGACTAGAAGGTCACAGTTCAGTTCCCCGTCAAGGCACATTCCAGTGTTGTGAGCTTGATCCCCAGTATGGGACATGCAGGAGGCAGCTAGTCAATGATTCTCTCTCATCGTCGATGTTTCTATCTTTCTCTCCCTCTTCCTTCTCTCTGAAACCAATTAAAAAAAAAAAAAAAAGGTATTTTATGTTTTAAAAATTGCACACCATTTGAAAATCTCTGCTTTAACAATGGCCTCCTTTGAAACAGTTTCCCACAGTGACTTCCATGGTGACAACAGAATAGTTGCTGCTGGTATAATAAAATATATATGTATGTATGAATTTGGTTTTTGTCCAGTTCCTGGCCCAAGCTTCTATAACCCTTGGAATATGTGAGGGATAAGAGTGTCTTGCTTGCTGAGATGACTGGTGGCTGGGTTCCTAGATAGCTTCAGATTTCCAGAAAGACCAAAACATGTGATCAGAGGCTGGAAATTTCAGTAGCACCTACCTCACCACCTCTAATGAGGGTAGAGGGGTCAGAGATCGAGTTTAGTCACCAACAGCCAGTGAGTGAAACCTCAACAAAAAAGGCCCTAAACAACTTGGTTCAAAGAGCTTTCAGTTTGGTGGATACATCAAAGTGCTGGGAGAAAGTATGCCTAGGGAGGGCATGGAAGCTATACTCACACACTTGCCCTATGCCTTTCTTCCATTTGGCTATCTTGAGTTGTAATGACTAGAGGCCCGGTGCATGAATTTGTGCACCAGTGAGCCCCTCGGCCTGGCCTGCAGGATTGGGTTGAAACTGGCTCTCCAACATTTCCTGAGAGGTTCCGGATTGCGAGAGGGCACAGGCCAGGCCAGGGGACTCCCCCGCTCCCCCAAGTACACAATTAGGGCCAGGGAGGATGTGGGAGGTTGGCCAGCCGAGAAGGGATCACAGGAGGGCTCCAGGGCATGTCCGGCCCTCTTGTTCAGTCCTGATAGGCCAGACCCCAGCAGCAAGCTAAACTTCTGGTCAGAGTGTCTTCCCCCGGGTGGTCAGTGCACATCATAGTGAGCAGTTGAATGCCCTTAGCATATCATTAACATATTATGTTTTGATTGTTTGAATGGCCAACTAGATGACCAGACACTTAGCATATTAGGCTTTTATTATATTGGATAAGTAAATCACTTTTCTGAATTATGTGATCACACTGAGTTATTGAACTTTGAGGAGAGTTGTGGAAAGCCTTGATTTGTGACTTCTGGGACTTGTGCTTGGCATCTGAAGTGGGGATCATCTTGTGGGACTGAGCCATTTAACTTGTGGAATCTGATGCTTAACCCCAGAGAGATAATGTCAGCATTAAATTGAATTGTTGGATATCTGGTTGGTGTTAGAATTAGAGAAATGGTTGCTATAAGGAAAAGCCCCATACATTTGGTGTCAAAACCATTGTGAGTAAAAGCTGCTTAATGTTCAATATAAAACTTGTGGAATAAGCCAAAACCGGTTTGGCTCAGTGGTAGAGCATCAGTCTGCGGACTGAAAGGTCCCGGGTTCGATTCCGGTCAAGGGCATCTACATTGGTTGTGGGCACATCCCCCGTAGGGGGTGTGCAAGAGGCAGCTGGTCGATGTTTCTCTCTCATCGACGTTTCTAGCTCTCTATCTATCTCTTCCTATCTGTAAAAAAATCAATAAAATATATTTAAAAAAAACAAAAAACTTGTGGAATAAAAGTTGGTGAATCTTTTATAGAAAGAAATAAAGAATCAAAGACTTTCTCAATCTTTTTATATGTTTTAATCTTATTACTGTTATTATCTAGTATTATTAGATACTCATCTGATATTGGTAGCATTTTACAACAGAAGAAAACAGAACCAGTACTGCCTTCTTTATAAATTTAAAGTTAACTTAAATTGAGGTGCTTCTAGCTCCATTGAGTTACAACAATAAACCTGCCTCTCAGCCTCGTACATTGTTACCGCTTATTTAATTGGTAATGAACTGGTTTGGCCCAATGGGTAGAGCGTCAGCCTGTGGACTGAAGGGTCCCAGGTTTGATTCTGGTAAAGAGCATGTACCTTGGTTGCAGGCACATCCCCAGTAGAGGGTGTGCAAGAGGCAGCTCATTGATGTTTCTCATTAATGTTTCCTCTCTGTAAAATATCAATAAAATATATTTTAAAAAATAAATAAATTATTATGTATGAAATAGAATATACTTTGGAATATAAACAAATAGAGTATATATGATAATCCTTCTCAGACCATTAAACTGCCACTAGTGAAAGTATATCTGTATGCATATGTGCCATTTTAGAGAATGAATTCTATATATTTTTTAAACTTACAGAATAAGAAAGATACAAGTAATTTTATGAGGTTTTTTTATTTCAAATCTTTGTCATGTAATATTTTGTTAAGGTAAAGTAAACAACAATAATAGCAACAAAAATTTCTGAACAACTTTCTATAATTCTTAAGCTAAAAGCAGTTATATTTTAAAACTGTCTGTTTAGTTATATACACATAAGAGACTTTCTTAAAATCATGTACAACTCTGATACTATGTAGACTTATCTTTCCTGCTCTAGGAAGGAACCAAGTTAAATTGGTAGTAACTATTCTTGAGACTAGAGCCAAGTCATATTTTTTGTACTCCTCAACTGGCTTGCAACAGTGTTTAGTTAATAAACATTCTTTCCAGGGTTGTTCAGTTTGCTGCTGACTTCACTGATGATAATTTGTTGGACAAATAAGGAACTAAACATTGCAGAGTTTTTTGGCTTCTGTTCCACTAAAAACATAGCAGAAAAGGACAAGAAGTTCCTTCTTACTAAATAGAGAATCAAAAGTATCTTTTGTCAAGCATAATGGGGGGGGGGGGGGGAAATACTTGATAAATAAAAATTTATTGATTAAGGTATCACGTGTGTGTGGGGGTATATTATTACATTCTTCAAGTATTATCTATATTTTAAGAAAGTGTCTCTAATTAGCTTTTTATTTGCCTAGAAATATCTTTATATTAAGAGTGATTCCTGAACCAATCATTACCACTTTCTCTCTGACAATGCCAGGGGCAAAAGGAATAATCCAGTGATGATGGGCAAAAGTAATCACCTAGGAACAGGAAATTATCAAAGAAAACCTCTTTTTGCAGTATTTATCTTATTCTTTTTGAAATGAAAGTTTACTTGTGTGAAAAGGGTAGATTAAAGTTGTATAAATAGCACTCCAACAAGCTCACTAGTCTGAATTTCCTTAAGTTTCAACTTGAGGTCTTGGTCTCCTTTCCTTCCTCCCCTTTTACCTCCTTCATTTCTCCCTTCTTACTCCCCTCTTTCCCTCCTCTTCTTCTTTTTCCTCTCTGTAATCTGTCCCTTCTCACCCCTTGGTTTATGCAGTGGTTATTAATTATATGATAGGCCCATTTCCCTCCTTAAACATTTTTTAAATGAGATCTCAAATCTTGTTAGAGTTATCTTTGTGGCAAGGTTCTTAACGGCAAATTTAGTTTTATCAATAGCTCTAGGAATATTTATATTCTGTATTTATTCTTGAGTGAGTAGTTTGTGTATTGGTAGTTTGTGTATTTGAGGAATATGTCATTTCATCGAAGTTGGTGAATTTATTGGTATAAGGTTGTTCATAATATTTTATTATCCTCTTCATATCTTTATGTCATCTCTTATTTTTGATATTGGTAATTTTTGTCTTTTTTTCCCCTTAGCAATCTGGCTAGAGAGCTCTTTCTTTATTTTAAGAAAAAATTTCTTGGTTTTCCTTTGTCTTTTCCCGTCTCTGTATATATTTTTCTATTTCATTGATTTATTTTGTTTTTATTTATTTCCTTCTATATGCTTTTGTTTTCATTTGTTCTTTTCTATTTTCATAAAATGAAAGCAGAGGCCATTAACTTGAGATCCTTCTTTTCTAATGTAGACATTTGATGTCAAGAGTTTCCCTTTAGGCATTCATTGTCTTAGTTCTAAGTCACAAATTTTATTATGCTATGTTTTATTTTTGTTCAGTTGAAGATACTTAAGCATAATGACTCACTTTTCTTTCCAATCCTTAATGCTTCCCCCCCTTAC